TGTCTGTGTGTGTGTGTGTGTGTGTGTGTGTGTGTGTGTGTGTGTGTGTGTGAGATGCGTACCTCTCAGCAATGGCCACTGCTGTGTTTTTCAGCCTCTCCTTGTTGGACTGAGGAGCACTGACCTGGGCAATAACCGGACTCAACAGTCTGTTCATTAGCTCCAACACCTTATCTGGATTCTACGAGGGGACCAACAACAACAGTCAAAAACCGTGAGAGGACGTGCGGTGCTGCAGCTGCAGATACAAAGAGCACAAAAAAAAGTGTCCGCTCACCTTGGCGAGCTCGTAGAGTCTGACTGCCTCCTCGTACAAGCCCTTGTTCTCTGCCTCTAGAGCCACTTTACTGATGATCGCTCTGGTGTCGCCAGCAAACTTATCTATGACTCCCGGCTAAAGAGGAGGAGGGAGAACGAGACTGAGAATACTACAGAGGATACTGCTCTACTTCTGGTGGTGGAGCAGAGAGGAACTTGATTTGATTCCAGCAAGTAGGAGAATTTACAACAAGGAGAATTCAACACTGCACGAGACTGCATTAATGAGACGTTAATGCTACAATGAAGATTTGTGAAGAACTTTCCACTGCAAATTCTAACCATGACAGACTAAAACACGTAAAATATAGAGAAGACAAAGGAAAAATGTGAAGGAGAGAGGAGAAGAACATGTCTGGAGAGGAGGAGAAGAAACACAATAACCACAAAGGAGATGAGAGGATCAGATAGAGAGAAAACCTTCCTACCTTCCTGCTGCCGTCCTTCTCTAATCTCCCCAACAGCATGTCGAACTGCAAAAGAGACAAAATCCTCACAACCATATAAAAAATATATAAACCTTTCCAGTTTTACAATATAATACAAACTAAGACAAAAGACCTGAAATAAATCCGACATTGTTTGGCTTATAATAGTCTGTAAAAAACAAAAAAAAGGTCACTCACCTCTCGACTCTCAATAACAAGCTCACTGACACAACGCATGAACATGTTTTCTCCCTGGCTGTCCTTCTCATTACTGCAGAAGAACACACACAATTAACATTTTATACAAGCGATGAATCTGGGTATTTTAGGGTCATAACTCCCTTTATTTACCAATGTGGGATTATTTACCGTAAGAAGTAGAAGTACTGCAGAGCTTCCCGTGGATCTGTGGACTCAAACTTGCGAGTGTAAAGCATGAGCAAACGGATAAAGTTGAGGCGGCGTACCATGGGAGGATCCCCAGGCTCCTGACTCACTGCACAAAGAAAAGTTGAACACATTATTTTTTAAAACAAACGTTTTCTTGAGTGTCTGCGCTGCCGTACAAAACGAAGGTGAATGCACTCACACAGCTGAGCACTTTGGCCAGACGACTTCAGTAGCAGCCTCAGTTCATACAGCACCAACGCCATGTGCACGGCATGACTCCGCAGTCTCTCAACACGAAACAAGAAAGCCACCGCCGCCTCGAACTGAGCCGTCAGGAACAACACCTGGAAATACAGGAAGGGCTGCTGGCTGGCAGAGAAGTGAGACTCTCCTGTTGGGACAAAAAGATGAGAGACATTATTCAACAGAAATCCTCTGACGAAAGTATTTCTTTATTGCTTAAACCTGTGTGTAATTTCAGAAAGGAGGACGGACACTTTAATTAACAATCCACACATTACACTGACATCTTATCTCCTTCATTCTTGAGCATTCTCCTCTTCATTTTCCTCTTGCATGATAGTTCATTTTTTCCATCTGACACTTTATTTGTTACTGTTAAAAAAACTCATTAATAACAGCACTCTTCTTTTTGAAGGAAAAGTTAGGTATTTGGGAAAAGAACTTCAAAACTACTTCATTTCTGTGAATTAATTTAGAAAAAGAATTTAATTGAAGAGAAGTGTCAGGAAACAAGTGGAGAGTGTGGAGGTATGACAGAGAAAAAGAAGGTTCTCTCAAACTTCTCCCAAAGTTAATGTACAACCATCAGCCATCAGGATATACCCCGAAGGAGATTGTATTTTACACGGCTACTATCAAGCATTAGAAGGATTTAAGTCCATGATTGTTGTACAGTAGCTTAGAAACTGGCAACCAAAGTTCAAGTGTCAGACATCAATATGACAAACACAGCAAACAACATGGCGCCCACATTAAGCAGCTCACTGAAGTTCAAACTGCACCAGCCTCTTCTAAACAGATGAACAAACCTCATGACATGACATGTCAGCTTCTGACAGTTGCTACGGCAGCTAACATGTAAAAAAACATTTTGTCTGGTGCAGGTACTTAGTCATCAAGTTTACTTTTTAATTATAATCCTTAATCCTCTTCCTGGCTGAAACTTGGGGAGCAGAACAGGGTGGACCATGTCAGCCATTTTATAGCCTTATCTCAGACTTACAGCACTTTAGTTCAAAAAAACGAGAGCGCGCGTGAGAGAAGAGGAAGGAGGAGGAGGGAGGGGAGCGATGAAGAGAGGAAAAGGGATGAAGGAGGGGAGATAAGAGTGTGTGTGGGGGTGTGCGGGGAGGACGCTGCAGTGGAGTGTGCAAACACGAAAAGCGAAAGAACAAATCACATGCAAAAGGCGAGAACATGCAAGGAGAGGCTGAAAATCAGTGGGAGGAAGGAGGGAAAACATTGATGCAGGTGTGAGGCAAAAGAGGGATGAAAAGGAGGAGACGGAGGCAGAGAGAAGGAGGGATGGAGAAGCTGAGAACAGACGAGGCTGGCGAGCCTTGGCGGTATGCAAGAGAAGTGAAGAGAGGCTTCAGGCTTTACATCCTGCTGTGAAGCAAGATGGAGGACAACCAGGAACACTGTGGTCGACATGTGAGGGCGCCGAGCAGCAGGGAGAAAACAGAATGAGGCTCGAGGCTGTACTTCCAACTGAGAAGAGGGAGTGAAGAGGGGGGAAATGGGAGAGGGTGACGCCAACTGAGAGAGAGAGAGAGGAAGAGAGTCCAGTGTTATCTGAATAGAGCAGGATCGGCCTGTGGAGAAGACAACACCCGGCGGAGAAAACTGTGCTTTTGCCTAATGCCCTCATGCTCTGGTTTTCATGTGTTGGGAGGGTTTGTGGTTGATTTAAGTGGGTAATTTTATTTTGAAATGGAGGGAGTGAAGAAGAGTCGAAGGAAGCTCATAGCTTCTCTTTAAAAGGGCGGTTAGAAGATAATTTCATTTACTGCTAATTTAACTAATGTTTTTGTTTGAAACAAACTAACATGGATTTCATGGAGTAACGACTGCCCAGGTAAAATCTTACACAGCATTTGAACCTCTCTCCCCTTTCAACTTTCACCCAAAATATCCTGGATACAGTTCCATAGCTCACTTAGAACAGGCACAGACACGACTATGGAGCAATATGACAAACATTACACAAGGAAAGCAAAGAAAACAGAGGTTGGAGGGAGGCAGAGTGATGCTGTTGTTTTGCAATCAGGGAAACGGACAGATTGAAACACTGTCATACCGTAGTCCTCCAGCAGCTGTTTCTGGAGCTGCGGCAGGGTCAGTCTGTCCTGAGGAGAGCTGCTGCCGTCATCGTCAAAACACACCTGGTTCAACTGCAAGGACAAAACATGGTGCACAGGATGTTAAAAAAAAGAAATACAACCACTCTGACTCAAAGAAAGATGCGTAAGTGAGAAAACAACACATAATAGCAAACTATGTGCTAATACTGGAACCTCACAAATCAAACAAAGTGGAAAGTAGACTGTACTGTACCTTAAGCCAGAGGTAGTCTTCAGTCTTGTCTGCTACCTCTCCATGGTTATCACTGATGTCACATTTCCCGATCAGGCAGTAGACGGCTCTCTTGTAGGGGTCAGCGCTGTTCCTCAGCACTCTGCGGTAGTGGAGACGAAGCTTGTTCTCCGAAGTTGGTGAAAGGCTAAAGAGACAAAGCAGAGGAAAGCAGAGAGAACAGAATTAAAAACAATTTGGACTCTATTGGGCTGTACAGACATCATGAGGTAAAACAAAAAGCTTGAGTGTTCTCACCGTCTGTCGGGGCTGTTCATATACTCCTGGAACCAGGTCTTGAAGTCTCCGAGCTGATGTTGCACTCGGTTCACCACCTGCATGGCTGCATTCAGGTCTCCACAACGCAGGCAGTAGTAGATCACAGCCCACACTGGGTGGCCTTCTATCTCCCCATCCTGTTGCAAACACAGACATTCGATGTAGTGGTGAAAATAAACCATTGGCACTGATTCTTACTTTTTCAGAATACATTTCAAATTAACATTCTGTCTCTCAGTGTGTTTTTGATTGAAGCTATGGTTACTAAACCACATTATCATATGGATTTCACTTGGCAGGTTGACAAATGAGTGCGACGGCTGGTAAAATCTTTTCACATTTCACTTTTACTTAAGTGTGTGGTGCAGGTGATGTTTTCATGAACCAAAAGCATTCAAATGTGTTTGTCTGTGTGTGTTACCTGCATGCCAGGCAGGGGACCTGGTAGTTTAATGTTGAGGAAGCTGCGGACTAGTTGGTACGTTCCTGGCACCCCTCCTAACTGGGCCTGATGAAGGTTTCCGAATACCGTAACCATGGTGTAGTTTTTATAACTGGGAGAAACCAGAAACAAACAGAATTAGTCATCTTGGTGCTAAATTTGTAGACTACTTTATATCCAGGAACAAAAAACAAGCAGTTACCTGTTCTCAAGGAAGCTGAGTGCCTGACGTACAAAGGCCATTTGCATTTCAACTGATGTGCGACTCTTGAGTGTGTCTTTAGCTGGCACCAGCAACACGTCTGTCATCTGCTTAACCATCAGCCACATGTCTGATACGTTCTGATATGAAGAGAGCAGGAAGGTCATGCACAGAGAAAATGGAGTAAGAAATAAGCATTACTTTTATAGAAAGCAGAAAATGCATCTTCGTGTAAACAGCGTAATAAGGTTCATATTGATCGTAGATGTCAGTGTTACCTTGTCATCCAGGCTTTCAGCAACAGAAGCACACAAGTCTCCCAGGTTGGGCTGAATATGACCATTCACTATCTTCTCATTGAAAATGTAGATCTGAACAAGGAAAGAAAAAGAAAAGATTTGATGACAGTTGCTCCCCAGATTGTTCAAATGCTAAATTTTCAGGTTTAGTTTCAACATTTCAAAGTCAACACGAAAGAAAAATATCTGAAATCCGCCTACAACTCCATCCTCAGCTTCAACAGTGAAAGCAAAGGCTACGACCATCGAGTGAAATGGTTCACAACAAAGAAAAGGAAGAAAAGAATCAAAACGTTTAAAAGGTCATCAAAGAGGATGACAAAAACCAGACAAATGACTCCGCACGCAATGTGTCGACACATGGTCAAAGGAAGAGCACATTTGAAGCAATGTGTCATGTAGCAGATGAAACAAACAGAGGGAAAGAGAAAAGGTCAGACAGGATGATGAGGAGGGGTAGAGAGGGATAGTGGAGAGACATAGACACAATGAGCGAGAGAGAGAGAATTACCCAGATTTCAGTTCTAACGCCCAACCAATCAATATGTTTGATCTGCCTCTTCCTGGCTCACTGTGACCCAGTTTTAACTCAACAACCAGACTCTGCATCACAAACAGAATATTCACATCTGTGTTTAATTTACTTTAGCTTCACTTCTTTAGATTTAAGAAGTAATACACTAATGTGGGAAAGAAAAACTTTATTTTTAGTAATAACATTGAGAGCTATTTTTTTCATAGATGAAAATTAACACATCATCACACTAGATTGCTGATTTTATTAGATTAACTATTATAATGTTTCTCCTAATTTCCATATTTTTTTCATATATGATTATTTCTTTGTTAGTAAATCAGTGATCAGATAGTATTAACAGAATTAATAATTAATAATAATTAATAGCTGGATATGGGTATTATTTGTTCATTACTTACTAACCAAGTGTAAAATATTCTGCTTTGTACACAAATTATTAAAAATATTATTTGTTCTCAGTTGAAAAAATAAATTGGTGAATATTTTAGATATTCGGAGTAAAATTTCAGGAAGTGTAAAAAAAAAAACCCACGAAACTGAAATAAATGTGCTTGAATTAATTTCCCAAAGTATAAATTCTTTATTGTACATAGTAGATGTAATTGTGTTTGCTAATATTTCCTGTCTCTTCCTTTCAATGAACATTAAAAAGACTCACCTGTCGTCCATAGGCCACCTCCACGCTGTCCAACGCACTCCTTCCCGGAGCCGTCACTTCACTCACAAAGCTCGGCTAAAACAGAGAAGAGAGTTTATTTCATAGATACACTGCACACAAGCAAGTGGCACAAAAGTAAAGTAGTTAAAAACAATTAGGAACACAGTGTACCAGTGACAAATAGATAAATAATCCCAATGAAAGCTGGGATATGTTCCCACAGGATGACACACAAGTCTTTTACTTTACTTAGGGCGAAAATAAAAATTGTATTCTCTGATATAACAGTTAATTCTGGTTAGTTTAGATGAGATTGAAGCAAGAAAACAGCCTGAGACCAAATAAATTAGAAAATGACTCAATGACCAACAAGGCTACAACTTCAGTGGTTCAGGTAACTATTATTTAAAAGATCCACTATATTGTAGATTCAATAAATGCTATGTAAAGATTTTTTTGCTCTTTAACGGTAAACTATCAGACAGTGGACCACTGACTCTGGGAGTTAACCTGTTATCTCTATCCTGTCCGCCTCACCTCCAGAGTAAATCCAAAAATAGATATTTCTTCAGGCCTCTTCATTATTAAAGAGCGACAGCGGTGGACCTGCGCTTTCCTTTTGGGAGAAGTATTCATTTTTTATGGCAGTTCTTATTAAAGAGAGGAAAGGTTGTGCAGGGCTGCGTCCATGAGGCAGTAAATCTGACAAATTTACCGACTTGTTGATAATATATCCTCTCAACAAGCTTCAGTGTGTTGCCTCGACTGTTTAACCTTCAAAGACCCTGAAGCAAGTGTTCTTCAAAACCTTATTTGGTTTTATCGTCAGGTAAAACCTTGTCACAGACTGACACAGTTAATCTTTTTTTAATACAATTCTTTCATTAGTTGCCTCTTGTCCTCTTGAACTGTGGACATATTTCATCCTACATTAACTCTGAGTGGTGCATGTTGTACCTCCACATCTTGACTGAAGTCGAGTGCGTCCTCTCCTGCTCCGAGCAGCGTGTGCAGAACTCTCTGCTTCACCTGCTCCCACTGGACCAGCATGGACTCGCGGTGGTACTCCTCCGCCAACAGGAACGTCTGAAACAGGTGCCCAATCGTACTCTATGTATTACACTGCACAGCCAAGCACATTCTTGTGTGTGATTGTAGTATCCAAATAACAAAATACAAGGAATGATACTTTAAATGATGCAACTTGATGACAGAGATCATTTTGAAGCAGATTTGACTTATAAGTGACATTTGTAAATAGGAGAACAAGAACTTTTACTGCAAAACTCTTGTAACTGTATTATTCATAATAATATCTCACACGCTGGATGCTATGTGATGCATTTATTCATGTATTTTCATATGTTTTGGAATGTACCAAAATTGTCTTAGTCATCTGTACTCGCTAAAGTTCTATGTATAAATGCCATCAATTTAAACAAACACATGGGCACGATGCAGAATTGAATACAGGACAAAAGGTGATGTGTTGCCTGTGAAGTTATTTTGGAGGAGTAGTTCACAAGAAAGTCCATTTTAAAATTCTGAATTATATTTATTCATCCAATGACCTGCTGGGACTGAGATTTACTGTAGATCACAGAAACGGCAGATTTTGTGAGGGTGAAACTGAAACCACTGATCATCTGTTTATCCACTGTATTTACTCTGACATTTTGGGAGGATTTGCAGGATTGGTAGTCGACCAAAATCCTACTATCTGCTGCTCTCACCAGAGAATATACTGTTCCTGGTTTTACCATGAAGGACAGTTAGCATGATTTGATATTGAGTAACCTCACAGTTCTTAAAAAAAAACCTCAACCATGCATCTAAATGGAGAAAGATGAAAGTTGTTTATTCTGTTATTAAAGAGACCTTGTGAACACCTGAAATCTTTAACTAAGTGAAAACGAGCAAGTCTCTGATAAGAGCCTATGAACAACTGAAGATATTTGATGACCATGCAAGAAACAATTGAAGAATAAAGTCTTTATTACTTTTTTATGTTGCTGCATGATTACCTCCACCAAGAAGGTTGTGTTTTCACTCCTGTTAGCTAGTTTGTCTGCAGGATTACATGAAAAAGCTACTAAACGCATTTCCAAGAAACTGGATGGGAATTAAGCCAAGAAAGAAACATTTCAATTTTGGTAAATATCGACGAAGGGACCTCTGACAAAGGGGATCCAGGATTTTATTTAAGGCTTGGGTGTGGATCCAAATAAAAATCCAGATCTTGCTAATTTAAAAGTGGTTTTATGGAGGGATATGTATTTTTCCAGCCGCTCTACGATAACAAATAGAGCTAGAAACCTGACTGCCACCAAAATGTAACTCAAATAATGTTAATACAGCAGAGAATCGACAGTTGATAGGCATCTTCAATCGTTTCAGAACTATGTCCAAAGGAACATTTGGTGTGAAATCTTATGCAACTGTTGGGCCTTGGTGGAGGTAAGCACTCTACTAAGCACCATACTAGTAATATAACTAGAATGAATTGTGTATTAAGAAGTGTTAATTGTCATTATCTCTATTCCTTGATGTTTGTAAATGTTCATCTTCAATAAAAGACACTGACACATGGATCTTTTTGTTCTGCCTCTTGGGTGTGGCTCTCTCTATTTGATGCGATTGTGAAATGGGTAACTTGTGTGAAGTTGTTTGAAAGATGTCGAATAGAAATTACAGGCTAAGCACTTAGTCAAGTTTTGAATTAGCCCTGCACTAGTTATGTAAATTGGGCCTACCTATGACAGTGACACACAGACACACACCAGATTTAGCAGCAGACCTCGGTTAAGATGGTACAACTCCACCAGGGCACACTGCAGCCCATTTTAACGCTCCACAGAGACTCAGCGTGGGATAAAGGGAACGTGAGATAATTGAATCTCCAGCTCAGGGAGGCACAGATCTGGACTAAAGCCACAATTCACTGGCTTAAATTGGTCCCTGCCTGGATGTCAAAGCTTTAAAAATTAGGTATAATAGGTCAAAATATAGTTAAAAATGTCACTACTTACATAGTTTGTCCACCAGAGAGCACTGATAAGTTAATTTTTCAAATGCAAAATGGCAGTAGTCAGCAAAAAAGTATATCTCATGGACCCATTTCCCAACCATTAAAAAATGTATATAAGCCATTAGATCAATATCAGACTTCATTCAAATACAGATATTTTCATCTGCCTTAAAAATGTACAAATGCGAGTGATAACAGCACTTTAAATGTAAATGAGATGACATTCAAGTGAAATGGCTGCAGTGACATCAGACATCTCAAACTAAATGTGATGTAGTGTAAAAGCTGCAGCGGTCATTCAGAAATCTGCCATCCACTTTCTTTTAAATCTTTGTTGCATTTGATTTTTCTACCCTTCTCCTCTCTCAGGGAGCAGAGAGAGATAATGGGAACGGCAGCTAATTAAAAAGGGCCTATTAGCTCTGCACATCAGGGAAGCCATTTCAAAAGTATTCCCTCAAGGTTCACACCAGAGGGACTTTGACATCACAGTGCACAGATATTGCAGATTTTATTTTATTTTTTTTTTAAGTTTTCCAATACTGTGATGTGCTAATGTTGATGCATACTGCAGTGCTAATCTGAAAGCAAGTGACACAAGGAAGCCCCATGTGTAACCTTTTCTAATGTAAATAATTTCACCAAATCATATTTTTTTGCTTCTTGGGCCTGGACAGGCTCTTTTAGAACTCTTTTCCTATAAAGCAGCATCTACATTGTGTAACCCCATCTTTAGATCTTCTTCATCGTGAGAGGAAATACTGACCCTGCGACGAGACTCCTCAATGGCCGACAACAGGGCGTTGTCCCTCTCATTCTTCAGGAAGCCCTGTGAATGAGGCAGAGGCAGACAGACAGAGAGATGGAGGGAGGGGATGACGCACAGTGACAAACACAGAGAGAGAAAAGCAGGTGATATTAGTTTGACCAAATAAAGCAGAGATAAACTGTTTGCAGCGAGTTCTAAGGGGACAGATTTAGCAGGCGCGCCATCATTTGCTCTACGGGAGATAGAAGCTGCTCCTCAATTTTCCGCCCCCTTTTTTTTCTCTGCCCTTCTCAGACATGTGCAGTCACATCATGCACTGCCAGGATTAGTCAAACGTATAGTAGCCAATTTATCTGGATGTATAAGCAGGCCGGAAAAGCGTTGCTGCTCTTCATGCACCATTTTGCTATGAGACAGCAGTCATAACAGCCTCCATTTTGATGCAAACTCAAGATGGCTGCCGTTGCAAACCTTCCTCCCCCTGCTCTGGCCCTTTTGTATGAACAAGGTAATTATTCATATCTTGTTGAACTGATAATAAAACCTCTTGTCAGGTCGGTAAGTGGTAACAACTGGAGTATACAGGACAGAACATGATAGCGCTCCACAAAAAAGGGGAATGCGGACGTACATCTTGCAAGATCACCAAAATGGTGGCTATGCTCTAAATGCTGTCTCTGTTCTCTCAGAGCAAACACAAGGGTGGGTCACAGGCTGATACATCATTTTCCTATGGGTATTAATTCAAGCTAAAACATCTCTGATCTATAATCAAAATATTACACACTTTTTATATATTTTGTACTATATCTTCAAGACCATTTTTAATAAAGCCAAGTGGACACTGAAAAGCAAAGAGAAAATGCATGAAAATCCATTACATCAGCGAACTCTGACAATGATTGTACTGTAAGGAGGTATAATTCATTCATAAATCACTACATCACAGCAGCAAGACTGAAAAAAATAGTGGAAAGTAAATTGTGATCACAATATTCACGTTCAATAATATCACCAATTTAACTTCATTGTTTCTTGTAATTGATTATTAAAATCAGAATCGGGTTTCATTGCCAGCAGGTTACGCATACAAGGCATTTGCTGTGGTGTATAAAATGACAAGAAGGTCAGATTAAAAAGTTAAATTTTACTGAAAATGTCAGACAGTGCTGAATTAATCATTCACTGCAACACAGTGTTTTAAAACTGCGGCCATGGAAAAATAGAAGATAATTCAATCAACAGAAAACGTCTGAAAATGTAACTTTTCATTAGCTTTTTCATTTACTTATTAATTCAAGGACATTTTAAGGCAGCAATGGTTTTGCTTGGTTTTTCTCAGTTTTGTTGTCTCACAGTTTAACACAACAGCCAGAAAGTGGTGTGTTGAAATTTGCATTGCACATTATTTCTGAAATTGATGGTTTACGCCTTCAGCTCCTGACATAACGGCCTCTTGAGTAGTTCCCCTCTGTCAGATAATGGCATGTTTTATTGATGACATTTACAGCACCATACGTCTTTCTACCTGTAGCATATGTAGGAGAGTTTCAGTTTGAAGAGCAAGCACCTTAGATTAGATAGAGATTTAGCATTTGTCAATCCGACTGGAGATAATTCTGATCTACGGGGACGTGGGTGCTCTTGGCTTCGCTCCTACTTTCTTGTCACCTGTCACTTGCTCCTCTATTCGCCCACTTACTTCAGCCTCATTCCCACCCCATCCTTTCTCTCCATGCTACCAGCCTTCACCTCTGTCTGTCATTGCATTCTTCTCCTCCTCCTTCACTTTCATCCCTTTATCCAGACAAATCAGGGCAAACTGGAAGCAGAAAGGCCAATCTCAAAGTACAATAGAGTGACTGATTATCAAACCCTGCTATACACAGGTCACTTGTGGAGGGTGTACCCCGCTTCTCGTTTCTAAAAGAGTTTGAGCTCGTCTATTATAACAAATCCACAGAGGAAGAGGTGCCGTCACCGGACAAAAGAAGTTGTCAAAATACCAGTGACAGAAAAAAAAGGGGGAAATCAAATCCATTTCAAGCCAGAAGCAACAGCAGTCGGTTTCCTTTTATACATTCTTCATTTAATAAGGTGAAGATGCTCAGTCATTCCAGGTCATAGTTAGGCAAAAAGAGTTTAATGGAGAACAACTGGACTTGGCTGTAGATGTTTCGCTCTCATCCGAAAGGCATCTTCAGCTCATTATCAAAGTCAGTGATGTAAATCACATTAATGGCCTTAATTCAACTCTTCTTGGATTTTATTAAGGTCCGTCATAGAGAGGAAGCCATGAACTGTGCCTTGCTCCGTCATAGTGGATGGCAGATTAACTCAATCTAAGTGGGTTAGTAATAGGAGAGTGCAGTCATTCAGGTCACAAACTGACTCAGAGAGAAAACAGTAAGACGAGTGAAGTAACTGAGTCAAAGATTCAGTCAAATCTGTATTTTTCTTTGGCATGACAATGCTACAAACGTCCTAACGTTATCTTAAATAACTTTCTTACTCATCTGCTGTCAGTGATGAACTACAGAAGATTGCAGCAGGAGACTGTCCAAGACGTGTTCACAAAGTACCGCAAGATGTCCGGAGCAACTGACTCGTACATTGTGGTCTCATATAAAAATTCAGTGCTTGTTTAAAAGCAGCTTTCGTGTAATATTAACTAGTATGTATTTGCAGCTAAGGCTAGAGCAGTTGCTGTAAAAAAAAGTTTTAGTATATCTGAATCTATTTATAGGGAAAATAAGTTTCTACCTCTTCCAACCTGCCCATTTACCCTCTGCCCCCACCCTCACTTTATTCCCCAGGAGAGGCTGACAATGGGTCTATATTTAAGTGCCCTAACCAGAGAAGAGCTCAGGTCAATGCTTACTGGAGAGCTGCACTGAAAAACAGGAAAAGAACAGAAATGAGTAGAGCAAAATAGAGAACAGAAAAATAGTCTGAACGAGGGTTTATAGAAAAGATATACTACAATTTAAGAGGGGAATATTTCATTCAAGGATCGATTGTAAATTGGAGAGGGAGAAATGAGACGAACATCTTTTCCAGAAACAGACGAGGGAGGGGTTGCTCTTTACAAAAGCATATAAACTGCGTACTCTGCTGGGCAGTCGCCTCAGCATTTTTGTTTTAACTGGAGTACAACAGGAAGAAAGGATTTTTCATTGCTGTCATTTTGTTGTCTGTTGCCAGCTGCTTTTGTGCTGCCAGTGACTTTGCCTATACGACATTTTTTGTGCCATAACTGATAAGTTAGCCAAGAGCTGTGGCCAAATTTCCAATTTGTCTGAAATATACTCTGTGCGCTAAAAGAAATCATCTTTCTCGCCTCAAAATGTTAGCGTATGGGATGATATATTACTTTTTATAAAATTAACAAAGGCAAAGAGCTGTTACTCATATTAGATAATGCTAACAAAAAGAAACGCATCACAATATTATCGTCTTTTATTGTTTCTCCCACAAGGATCATGGTTCATTTGAAAATCTAACTAAGTTTGATCAAATTCTGAGCAGATGTCGAGGCTTCATCACAGACAGACACAGCATCACTGTTGCTAACATCATATCAGCACCAAATATCTGAAAGACATGGCATGTTATTCAGTCTGAGACACACTGTACCCAACATTTCACACTGACTAAACAGTGCAGACGCTTCAATTGATGCATGGTAAAAATAAACACAAAATAGGGGTAAAGGAGTAATATTAAAGAGCCTCTGTTACATTTTAAAAGACGATGTGTAATTCACACAATATTCAGTGCCGGGCAATAGGTGAATCTAAAGATGCACATTTTCAGTTGCCCCACCCCTGTATTGTGTAGCCCCAGAGATTTGCAAGCCACTCTACACCCACAGCCTGCTGGCCAGACAGAACCGGAGACTTCTACAGGAACAGAAACACAGCCCTGAAAAATAACTGAGGATTAATCAGGAAATACAGAATTGATGTTGATAAAAAATACCAGATATTGAACAGGGAAGGCAGATGGACCTAAGGACCAGCCTGCCTTCAATTCACAATTCAACTGATGGGAGTTTAGGTCTTTGTCTCTAATTCTGCAACAATCAGCAAATAAATAAAATTACGGTGGACGCCTGATTGTGTCTCTAAAAATACATCTTATTGTAATGCACAGATAACATATGACCAGTTTTTGGCAATAACAAGTACTTGTTTAATTTTATGCATGCGTGTTTGTGCGCTTTAAAATACGCATGTTAAAACGCACGCATGTGCTCGTTTCTCCACCACACACAGGCCCTCGTTCTGTTAGCTTCGGTAAAGACACTCACACTGTCTGCGTCTGAACGCACATGAATTTTTCCTGTATGTTCGGGGTAAAATCAGGGAATCAGATTATCAACTTTCCATCTGGCTTCATGCTTATTACACACTACGAGACACAGTTATGTTGTAGAGATACGGGGTCTCGAGGAATCTAAAGGCTACGTAAGGACACAGTCGATGAGCAGTTAAAGAGAAAACGAACGCAGGAAGCCTTGTTCTCTGTGCCAGTCATGATGAAAGAGTGGAAGGCTTTCTGTCCTCATTTGCCACGACAGAATGCGCTGTCCACTGCCCTAGTGAGTGTGAGTGTGTGTGTGTCCGAGAGAAACCCCACCCTTCACTCCTTTGCTTCCTGTGAGGCAAAAATATATTTGTAAAATACTACAGTACAAATACACACACAGACATGTGCATATTTACATTGGAGACAGTGATGCCTGAGTGTAATCATACAATCAATATATATAATCGTCATCATCATCATTGTCGCCACACAGCCGCACCAAATGTAGAATAATCACAGAAGAGGTTGAGAAAGAGAAAATAAACAAAAAAGTCTGTCACACACTTAGACAGGCAAGTGCTTTGTCTAAGTATGTGTGTGTGTGTGTGTGTGTGTGTGTGTGTGTGTGTGTGTGTGTGTGTGTGTGTGTGTGTGTG